TACTGGTACCCTATAATAACAAAATAATTCTAATTCCTCCTTCCCATCCCTTGTATCATTGCTGTCATTCATTTTACTTATGCATAAGTATAAATAAGCATATATACATAATCATACATAATTAAATACATTGTTGCTGTTACTATTTTGAACAAACCATCATCTATTAGATCAATCCAGAATAAGAAAAATACAAGTTTTTATTTTACCTTCACCTATTTCTTCTTTGATGTTTTTCCTTTCTTTATTTAGATCTGACTTTCTGACCTGTATCATTTTCTTTCTCTCTAAAGAACTTCACTTAACATTTCTTAGAAGGCAGGTTTACTGGCAACAAGTTTCCTCAATTTTTGTTTCTCTGAGAAAGTCTTATTTCTCCTTCACTTTTGGAGGATTTCAGAGGGTACAGAATTTTAGGGTGGTAGTTTTTTTCTCTTAACACTTTATTTTTTTTCAACACTTTAAATATGTTATAACATCAGGGTCAAGGATTCCGTTCCCCACACTGGCCAAAGCCAAAGGAAAAGAAAAAGAAAAAAACCACTTTGAATGTTTTGCTCCACTCTCTTCTTGCTTACATGGTTTTTTAGAAGTCAGATGAATTCTTATCTTTGCTCCTCTCTAGGTAAGGTGATTTTTTTCCTCTGGTGGCTTTCAGGATTTTTTTCTTTATTTTTACATTTCTGTAGTTTGAATATGATATGTATACATATAAGTTTTTTGGCATTTATCTGCTTGGTGTTCTCTTAGCTACCTAGATCTTTAGTTTGGTATCTGACATTAATTTGGGGGAAATTCAGTTATTTTTCAAATATTTATGTCTTTTCTCCCTTTCTTCTTCTTAAATTCCCATTAATACATAAGTTACACCTTTTGTAGTTTTCCCACAATTCTTGGATATTCTGTGGGGTTTTTTGTTTGTTTGTTTGTTTTCCAGTCTTTGTTCTGTTTGCTTTTCAGTTTGAAGGTTTCTATTAATTTATCCTCGAGCTCAGAGATTGTATCCTCAGCCATGTCCAGTCTACTAATAAGCCCATCGAAGGCAGTTTTTATTTCTGTTTGTGTTTTTGATCTCTAGCTTTTCTTTTTGGTTCTTTCTCAGAATTTCCATCTTTCTGCTTATAGTATATTACACATCTGTTTTTATCTGCTGACTATTTATCCCTTAGAGCTCTTAGCATATTAATTATAGTTGTTTTAAATTTTTGGCCTAATAATTCCAACATTCCTGCCTTATCTGAGTCTGGTTTTTATACTTGCTTTGTCTCTTCTAACTATTTTTTGCCTTTTAGTATGCCTTGTTATTTTTTCTTGTGTAAGACATGATGGATGAACTGAGTTAAATGGACTTTTCCTGTATGGTGGTGAAATGTAGTGGGGGAGGAGAAGTATTCTATAGTCCTATGATTAGTCTGTCTTTTAGTGAGCCTGTGCCTCTGGACTGTGAACTTCAGAAGTGCTTCTCAGTATCCGCGTTAGATGGTACAGAATGGCTAGAGTGGGCTGGTGTTGGGTTTTTCTCTAAGCCCAGGTCAGTTAGGCTCTGATAAAACCTCAGCAGGTTAGCCTCTGGTTAAATAGTTTCTGTAAAGACAGACCTTGCTAAGTACAGAATGCTCTGGCTTAATTCAAAATGTTCGGTTTTCTCCTCCCCCTGCTGGAAGCAGTAGGAAATTTTTCTGCAGTATTCACTGTGAGAAGCAGGTTGAGCTTCCAGAAGTGAAACTCCAGGAAGTGTGCCAGAGTTTTAATTCCATAACCCCCCCATAACTGGGTTTCCTTGGAGAGTTTAGCTCTCAGAGTTGTCCGCGCTGAACCTCAAGCAATTCATCAGTTATAGCTCACGTTTTCCTACCTCAGCACTAGTTCCCGTGGATGTTTTGCTCATGGGTTTTTTGCTCTAGTAAGTTGTGATTCTCTGTATTCACCTGTCACTGCAATTTGGGGAGCAGCCGTTTGCCCTGTGACTTCACTTCTCTTACAGGTGTATGAAGGGTTGTTGATTTTTCAGTTAGTTCAGTTTTTACTTTGTTATTAGGATGGAGTGGCGACTTCCCAGCTTTTTATGTTTCTGACTGGAAACCAGAAGTCTGTATGCTTGATTTTAATACTTAATTTTAACTTTATAATCTATGTGGAAAGCCTAGTTAAAACACTGCTTTGACTATTATTTTAAGATATCTAGGAGATAAAAGTTATTTTATGCTCTTTCCTTTTATAATATGTGAGGTTTTATTAAACTCAGTTTTGCTCTTAAAATGAGTCAGTGTATATGTTTTTATTTTTTCTGTTTCTAATATGTTGTTTCTTATGACAAAATATTTAACAACTTTTGCAAGTTTTATAATTTATAATTTACAGTGAATTTTCCTTTGGCGGGAACTTTTTATTTCCTAGAGTCAGAGATTTTGAGGAATCTAAAAAGACTGATTCACTTTCTTAGAGAGAACCCAGTTTTGAAAAGAATAGAAAGGAAACAGCATTGTTTTCTATCAAAAACAAGTAAGCAACACAAGAAAAACTGAATTAGAATAAACAAAAAAGGAAGAGACTGTTGCCTTCATCGCAGCCTTTACCACTTCCAACTTTAAAGAAACACACAAATATCTATTAAAACCCAACAGCATAGAGAAGAAGAGAGACTAATTCAAGCTCTGGACCAACTGAGCACTAAATAAAGGTCTGAGTGAACAAATATTTAACATATCTCACCAGGCCTTCTGTCTCTATTAACTTAAGCCAATTTTTTCAATTCCTCATTATGGAAAATTTTTAAAGCATATAAAAAGCAGGTAGAATTGTATAATGTTCCTCTCTGTGTACCCAATCACCCAGCTGTAACAGTTATTAACTTCTGGCCAGTCCTGTTTCAGCTATACCCCTTCCCACTTTCTCCCTCCTATAGTATTTTTTCTTTTCCTTTTAACTATTTGGAAGCAAATGCCAGATATCATATCATTATCTGTAAATGTTTCATTATGTATCCTTAAGAGATAAGAATTTTTTTTTAAAAGAAACATACCTGCAAATACCATTATTACATCTGAAAAATAAAATGTGTTAATATCAAATATCTGGTCAATGGTCCGGCCCGTGGCTCACTCGGGAGAGTGTGATGCTGATAACACCAAGGTCACGGGTTCGGGTCCCTATATAGGGATGGCCTGTGGCTCACTGGGTGAGCGTGGTGCTGACAACACCAAGTCAAGGGTTAAGATCCCCTTACCGGTCATCTTTTAGAAAAAAATAATAATAATAATAATAATCCGGTCAATATTCAGATTCCTAGTTGTCTCCAATGTTGAATGCCCTCTTCCCCCCATACAACTTATTTCTGAAGGAACTGGATTATCTATCCGTAGAGTCTCCTACGGTCTGGATTTTGCTGACTATAGCCTTGTGGTATTATTCAATATGTTCTTCAGTCTTTTTATCTCATGTAAATTGGTAATGGGATCTAGAAGTTTGATTACATTTGGGTTTTTTGTTTGGTTCGTTTGTTTTTATGTGACTACTTTTATAGGTGGCTTTGTGGTTTTCTGGTAGGAGGTCCATAATATTTTATCTCTTGTTTTTATGTTAGCTGCCATTGACTGTCAATGCCTAGGATTGCAAAATGGTATTCTTCCCATTCTATAATTTCTTCTTCAGTT